CGGCCCAGCCGCGGAGGGTGGACGTCCTGCAGAGGGCCGTGGCGGCTGGACACCACACGGAGAAGTGACGCCCGGGACAGGACGCGTCAAAGGGCCAAGATGGTCCATGTTACGGTCCGTGTATTTTATCGCCAAAAGAAATCATGAAGAATAGAAATATTTCGGGCCCTCCCTGGGGGCGCAGCGGGTTAAAGCGCAGCACTGAGAATCTAAAGCCGCTTCCGCATGAGTTCGATCCCCGCCTGCCCCGGAGGTGACCACAGGGCGCGGCAGACCTCTCCTGACCCGCCCGCTGCTCCCCGCAGCAGTGTGCTTCATCGATCTGCCTGTTCTGCTCCCTGCTCTGTCTCTGGTGAGGCCTCTCACGCCCCTGAGCCTCTCACCTGTACCCCAGCTCTGTATGCACAAATAAATAAATCTTTAAAAAAAAAAAAAGAATAGAAATATTTCTCCTGCTAAAAGGGGGCCCTGCTGGACCCCGCTGGCCCTGCTGGTCGAGAAGCTCAAGCCCGCGGCCGCAGGACCCCGGCGGCTCTCTCCCCGAAGGGGCTCCGCCCTGCTGCCTCAGCAACGCACAAAGAAGCGTTTCTGGCCAGCCGGTCAGCGCCGGCGGGCGGCCCCCCAGCACTGGGCTCCCGGGGCGCAGGGACAGAGCGCGAGGGGCCGCGGCAGCCAGAGGCCTGCAGGAAGCCATCTGCTCTTGCAAGAAAATTACTAAGGAAAGAGCACTGTTATTTTAAGATCTTGGAGCCGGTGTGAGAAGAAACTAATTAAATGATTGTAATTTTCGCTGCAAATAAGTAACTGCTACAGAGTGGGGAGGCGGGAGGAGCCTCACCTCGGAGGGTTTGCTTCCGGGCGCCAGCGAGCTGGCCCACGCACCTGTCCCTCTTCAACGTCAGAGGCAGCGGTGGCCCGAGCCCGGCCCCGGAGGCCCCCGCAGCCCCGCCAGGCCGCCGCCAGCCTCGGCCTGAGCTTTACCCCAAGAAGCAGGGGAGCAGCTGCGGGCTCCTGGGGGTGGGGGCGCAGGTCGGCCGCGTCCAGCGGGCAGCCGGGCGCTGACACCGCCCCACCCAGCTCAGCAGGCTCCAAGGACCCCAGGCCGCCGGGAGCAGCCTGGCCGGGCGCCGAGCTGCCAGGCGGCGTGCAGGGCTGGCGGGCTGGAACGCTCCGGTCGTTTGCCGTTGGCATAAAAAACACCGTCCCTTTGCCAGCCCTCTGCTAACCCTAGTGACGCCCTCTGCTAGCCCGCTTGTGTCCCCAGGAAATGCGAATGGCTCCTGCAAGAAACTTGTTGCAAGCCAGCCACGGCGCACAGCCCTGCTCCTCGTTCCTAGGGGAAAAAAGACGGTGACTTGTGTCCGCCTCAACTTTCAGCGCTGTCAGTCACGAGGCCCCTGGTCTCGCCTTGAATGGGGTGGGGCGGGCCCCTGAGGCCCCAGGCGGCCGGGCCCCAGGGAGCACCGCGCACACTCCGATCAGCAAGAAGCTAGAAATAACTGGCTTTTCGGGTTCTGAAAATAGAAAAGCAAAGAAGCCCCCAACAGAGGGCGACGGCCAAGCCCCCTCCGCCCCTGCCCCAAACGGACTGGGCGGCGGCGGCCGGCTGAGCGGCCAGCGGCTGGCTCCTGCCCCCGCTCACCCTCCTGGCTTGGCCTGCCTCCCACCAGTAATAATAAAATTAAAATGTTAAATAACAGCAACTCTCCAGAAGGCTGACGTGGGCACAGGGCTCCAGCCTAATCTGAAGGGGCGTGCAGAAGAATGAAGGTAATTTACGACCTCTTTAAAATGCTCTCAGGAACCCTCATGCAAAGACAAATTAAATAGCCACTTGATTAAAGTAAAAGTAGATTTGTGTGCTGTGTTCAGGAGCTTTATTAGCCGGGCTCTTTCTACGCCTCCACGCCGGGCTTCGGGGCGGACGGGGGAGGCCTCGCCCCGGCCCCCACCCCGGGCTCCGGGCTGGCCGGGCCCCCACGGCTCTGCCCGGTCCTTGATACGCTCAGCCCCGAGCGCCTCGGCTGGGGGCTGGCTGCACGCACCCTTCAGAGCTGCTCGGCGTTGCCTGCTCGGGGAAGTCCTCCCAGGGCGTTCAAACGCCAGCGAGCCCACGTCTGACGGCTCATCACCGCACCCGAACCCCAACAGACTCCTGCAGAGATCAGAAGCGGCTGCCTGCAGACAACCAGGAGGCCTCCCCTCACCAGGGGTCTCAGACGTCAGCAGGTCCCTCCTGGCCCAGGTGACACCGGGCCACGCACACACGGGCCTCGGGCACTGGCCCGCGCACGCCTCACCCCGCCACCGGCCCGACCAGTCATCACTGCTGCACGCTCCCGGCCCAGCACCGTCCTAGCCCGGGCGGCCCCAGGAAGGGGGGGCCCTCACTCTTCCTCCCCCGCTGCTCGGCCCCACGCCGCACTCGCCCGCTGCCGGCCTCTCGCGACCCCTGAGCACCCTGCTTGGGCCCAGTGCTGCCAGGGAGCGTGGGCACTGGCGTCCGGGCGCCACAAGGAGGCACCGCAGGCGGGCAGGGCGCCCATCAGGTGACAGCCGCCCTGAGCCGCCGCGGGACCCCACAGAGCGGACTCCACCCGGGCTCCGGCTTCTCCCGGCGGTTTCTCCCCGTGCGTGATGAGGCGGGCAAGGGCGCCCGGCCCAGGCGGCCGCAGGGTCCCCAGGGTCCCCGCCCGCCGGTCCTGTTTGTTTCTCCACTGCCTCTGCCAGCCCAGGGGCGCCCCGCGCCTGCAGGTAAACCTGCGTCTCACGGATGGCGACCTGTTTCCACACGGCCTTGGGAGCAGGGACCTGGCAGGAGCCGGCCTCCTGCGGCTGGGGCTCGCCCCCTGCTGGGAGGCGCCCGGCGGGGAGGCCCAGCCCCCCCCACCTGCTGGGCCCGTGAGGGGCCGTAAGTGGCGAGTCCCAGAGCTGCGGTCAGTGTGGCCGGCGGGGGTCCCGGGGCGGCCGCAGTTTCTCGCCTCGCTGAGCCTTCTCGGGAAGGGAGGCTGCGCCAGGAGAGACCTGCTTCTCGGGGACCCGCCGCGGGCAGCACAGCCCCCGAACCCGCACTCCTGGCGGCAGGGGGGCACCCAGTGCCAGGCCCTGTCCTCCGACCCCCCGCCCCGCCCGCAGCCCAGAGCCAGTCGGCACTTCACCCCCACACGGAAGAGAAGACAGCTCCGCCCGCCGCAGTCCCCCTCCCGGACACCGAGCCAGGGCCACGGCGGCTGGCGGTGCTGCCCAGGGCTCCAGCCCGCTGCCCCCCGCCCCGGGCGCCGACAGGGCAGAGAGCGGAGCCACGGCTGGTGACCCGGTGGGGTTCAGCTCTGCTGGCGCCCCGGGCTCATGGTGAGCGCTCGCCGCTCCCTGGAGAGACGCGTCCCTCGGTCATGCCTGGGGCGGCCCCCTGGCCGCTGTGCTCACGGTGTCAGGCCCGCGAGGGCGGGCGGGCCCCTGTCTCGATGCCACAGGGAGGCCCCCAGGGCGCTGCGGGAGGGACACCCCTTTCGTGTCCTGATGGGACCCCCAGGAGTTAAGTCCACCCTCAGCCCCAAAGCGTCCGGCCGAGAGGACAGAAGGACCAAGCAGCGGCGCCCGGACTGGGCAGGGGCAGGGAGGGCCTGGCCCCGCGCCGCCAGGCAGCCCCTCCCCAGGAGAGCCCCGCCTGGGAGGCTGAGCCCCTGGGGCTCCACAAGGGGTGCGCGAGGGCACCCCAGCCGCCGCACGCTACCGGCGAGGGAAGTGCCTCGCAGGTCCCTCACGTGCCAGGCCCCGTGCACAGCCGCCCCCCAGGACACCAGGAGCAGAGTCACAGCGAGAAAGGTCCGGGCGGCCCGGGGAACCACCACGGAAGGGGGTGTGGGGAGACCGCCATCTCCCCACAACCAGGCCCACAGTGGCCGTCCCTGCACCGCCCCCCACACAGGAGGAGCCCGAGGGGTGCAGCGGGATGACCCCAGCGTGAGCACAGGTCGTCAGAGGGAAACTCAGCAGCTCCGGGGGGGCGGGCGGCCCAGGCCGCGGTCGCAGAGGCTGGGGGTACACAGGTGCTCCCACCGAAGCGGGGTGCCGGGCCAAAGTGGCCGGGGAGTGGGGGAGGGCAGGGAGCTCCCTGCTGCAGGGGGAGGCCTCACCGCACTGCCAGATGCGCCTCTCCCCACCTCACCCCTGCAGCACCCCCAGCCAGTGGGGTCTGGGCCCGGCGGTCCCAGTCTCCAGGGCCAGGCTCAGGGAAGTGCGGTGGACCGTCCAGTCCCAGGACCCCGGCCAGGCTCAGGGAACCCGGGTGCCTGCAGAGGGACAGGAGCCGGCTCTGGCTAGACTAGGGTGCAGCGGTCCTGGAGCCCAGAACCCCAACACCCAATGCTGAGGGAACCCGGCTGAGTGTGCTCCCCAAGGCTCACCTCGGGGTTCCCCAAAGGTGGCCAGCGTCCTGAAGCCGCTGGAAACACCACCCTGGTCCTGTAACCTGGGATCTGGAGCCCAGTGGGGTCGCCCCGAGGTGGTCAGGGTCCAGGAGATCTGGGAAGGTCCCGAGGGGCGGCAGGACGCCGGCAAATGCGGGGACCTCTCCCGGAGGCCAGCGGGGCGCGTCCAGGGGGCCCCCACCCAAGTCGCCCAGAACGCCCGGGTGGCGCGGGGCCCCGCGGCCGCGGAGGTCACTTACGCTGCTGTTCTCTCCCGTCCAGTGCACCATCGCCTGGTTGTGGGTCGCGTCCCCCTTGAGCACGAACGACGTGCTGATGAGCGAGACCTGCGCCGCCGAAGCCGCTCCGGCCGCCGGCGCC